TAATGGTTTCCCTGTGTCGTGGTTTAACCCCAGCCAGCGGCTCGGACTGCGCAGCCGTTCGCCCACTCCCCGCCCCCAGTAGGGTAGGGAGAAGAGGGAGAAAAAGGAGAAGAAAACTCGTGGGTTGAGATAAAGACGGTTTAATAGCACAGTAATGGAAGAGAAAACAATAATAATGGTAAAAATACATTAAAAAAAAAAAAAGTGATGTGATGCGATTGCTCTCACCACCCAATGATTGATTGCACAGCCCGTCCCAAGCGGCAATCACGGATCCCTGCTCCCTGGCCAACCCCCATTTATATGCTGAGCGTGACGTCTATGGTATGGAATATTCGTTTGGCCAGCTTGTCCTGCCTGTGCTCCTTCTCAGCTTCTATGGGAAGCTGAAAAAGTCCTTGACTTAATATAAACATTACTTAGCAACAACTAAACTAATATGTGTTATCATTGACATTATTTTTACACTAAATCCAAAACACAGCAGCGACTAGGAAGACAATTAACTCTACCCCAGCTGAAACCAGGACCCACTGCTGTCCTACAAGCCCTTTGATGTATTTCTTGTCTCGCAGGAAATTGGGCGATGGGCTTTTCCTGCAGTGCTGCGAAGAAGTGGCGGAACTGTACCCCAAGATCAAATTTGACACCATGATCATTGACAACTGCTGCATGCAGGTGAGGATCCTGTTTCCCTGCCCCGGAGCCGCTCTGTGCTGCCTGCTGCCGCTGGCCTGCTGAGCCAAGAAAGATCTGAAAACTGAAAAGCTGCCGCCTCTGACAGCTTGACAAGTCCAGGTGGCCGCCCTGGCCCCAGGTTTGCCCCTTGCACCAGACAGGAGCCTTCTGCCTGCTCTGCTCCAGCTGAGGGCAGGAGCTGCAGGGACTGAAGATGACGGGGGCGTTTAGAACCAGAGAATCACAGAATTATTTAGGTTGGAAAAGACCTTTAAGATCATTGAGTCCAAATGTTAACCTAACACTGCCAAGTCCACAACTAAACCGTGTCCCGAAGTGCCACATCTACACGTCTTTTAAATACCTCCAGGCATGGTGACTCAACCACTTCCCCGGGCAGCCTGTTCCAAGGCTTGGTAACCTTTTTGGTGAAGAAATTTTTCCTAATATCCAATCTAAACCTCCCCTGGCACAACTATATCTCATCTGGGCTTGTAAAACTCTCTACCAGGGGAAGTAGGTTTGTGGCTCCAAAGTCATTTCGGCAAGGCTGTGTGTGCTTCCAGCTGTCACTTGAGCACAGTTGGGGGATGTTGGGTGTGCAGAGCCTCATGTCTTCCTGTTCGCTCTGTGCAGCTGGTGCAGAACCCCTACCAGTTTGACGTCCTGGTCATGCCGAACCTCTACGGGAACATCATTGACAACCTGGCAGCCGGGTTGGTGGGCGGCGCTGGCGTGGTTCCCGGGGAGAGCTACAGTGCGGAGTACGCTGTGTTCGAAATGGTGAGGAGTCTTCTCGGCTCCCCGGAGGCTGCTGTGCCGTACCAGCGCCCCGGGTTAGTGAGGGGGGGCGGCTGCTGGGGACGGGGGTGTGGAAGATGGTCCATCGCCGTGGCTTCTCCTCCCGCAGGGCGCCCGCCACCCCTTCGCCCAGGCCGTGGGCAGGAACATCGCCAATCCCACCGCCATGCTGCTTTCGGCTGCCAACATGCTGCGACATCTCAAGTAGGTGTCTTTCACGTGGGGATGCGGTGGGGTGGGCAGCGCTGCCTCCGCCCCACCGGAGGGGCTGATGGAGGGACTGACCCGCGGCTCCTTTCCTCTCACCAGCTTGGAATTCCACTCCAATTTGATTGCGGATGCGGTGAAGAAGGTGATCAAAGTCGGAAAAGTGAGTGTTGAGCAACCGGCCTTGTCGTTTGTCTGTAGCTGTGTGAGTGTTTGTGGTAGTGAGCTGTTCTGCGTTCTCCCTGACGGACAAGTGCGACTCTCCCACCTCCTCACCTCTTTCCAGCTCAGAATCCTGTGTGTGTGCAGCCTGTGGCTGTAGTCAGCTGCGGTCGGTCCCTCTGCGCTTGTCTCGGGGGTTGTTGCTGCTGCCCGTAGTGGTGCTTGCTAGCTTAGGGAAGGTCTGGCAGGGCTGGGGGACATCAGACAGCATCTTTCTCGCGTGCCACCCCGCTGGGGTCTCTGGCAGGGTGCGTAGAGGGAAGCTGCTCTCCTCTCCCTTCTGGCAGTCATTTCACTCGGTTCACGATCACGTTTCTCCCTTGTTTCTCCCCTTCCCTGTGTTGGATTTTTAGGTTCGGACACGGGACTTGGGCGGTTACTCCACCACTTCGGACTTCGTGAAGTCTGTGATTGACAACCTGCACCCCCACTATGGTGCCTAGGAACCCCGCTCGCCCCGGGGAGTCGGGGACTTCACCCTGCAGCAGCTTCCCGTAGCTTTACAGCCCAGCAGCGCCTCCTTCCCCCTCCCTGCCCGGCGCAGCTCGCCCTGGCCGAGGTTCCCTGCTCCACCAGGGGAGGAGGAGGAGGAGAGTGGCTCCTCCCGCCCAGCCCAGAGCCCAGTAACCATCCCCAGTCACCCCAGTGGGGATTGTTGGAGGGACTGAGGGCAGGGCTGTGTTTGGACTGAGGATCCCCAGGGTCCCTCTGGTTCCTGTAGGCAGCGTCTCTGCTGTGCCCTCCAGGTGTGGAGGACGGTGCAGATCTCGGGGCCTGCTGGGGCGACTCGGGGGTGAACGGGCAGCACCCCAGGCTCGGCAGGCAGCTCCTGGGGACAGTGGGACCATGGTCACTGTAGGAGCCTTCCCTGGCCCACAGAGGCTTTAGCAATAAATGGGACCACAGGGCTGAGCCCCTGCATCCAGGAACGCACGAGGGCAAGCTGCTCGCACAGAGTGAGGTTTCCCCTTGCTGGCACGATCCCGGGTGCAGGGAGAGGTGGCTGTGAGGCTTTGTCACCTCCTGCCCACTGGGAACCAGTGCAGGGGATGTGTGTTTGTGTGGGGTCTGCTCTCTTTGCCCCCACTTCATGCGCTTGCGGCTGGTTCCTGAGAGCTGTGGGACTGCCTGGGGAGCCACCCCCAGGTAGGGCAGTGCCTGCGTGGGCAGCGAACGCTTGCCCCACAGCAGGCAGAGCCCAGGACAGCCCAAACTGCTGCACTCCTCCACGGCAGCACCCGGAGATCTTTGCCCAGCAGTGCGAGGCCCTGGAGCCGTGTCGCTCCCCGGGGAGGAGGAGGGGAAGACTGGGGACCAGCATCGGTGTGGGGCTGGGCTGCCAAAGCGTTCGGTGGGACCATGGAAGCTCTGCCCTGGCAGGCGGCTGCGGTGGCTGGGGCAGGGCGCTGTGTGCGTGAGCGAGCGACTGGGACGTGTATTTAAAGCTGTGCTCTGTATTCGTGTTTGCAAATAAAGGGTCCAATGCTTCCCTCCACCCCTGCCCGGCCCAGGTGGTGTTCCCCACCTGGCTCTGTCCCTGCCCTGCGTGGATCAGGGTGGGCACAAGCCTTGGGGGGGACCGGGGCAGCTTGTGGGGTGGCTGCTTAGGGTGCTTGGCCAGGGCCAGGAGCCGAGCTGGCAGCGAGCACAGGGCTGTGGCCAGGCCCTGCCCGCAGTGGTGGGAAGCAGGGCTTCAGCCAGGGCTCGGCCCTGGTCCCGCAGCCCCGCTGCCAGCCCCTCACCGTCCTCTCCAGCCTGCTCGGGGCAGTGAGCCCAGGGAATGGCCACCTTGGGGAGGGGCTGCCATGAAATCATCTACTGCTTCAATTCCTGCCTCTGCCACCCCTTCAAAACCTGCCTGGAAAGCAGGGGGTGGCAGAGGGGCTGGCAGCCTCTGCCTGTGACATTACTGACCACCTCCTGGGGTGGGGGCTTGCTGGGACACCCCAGTGGGGCTGAGGTAGCTGGGAGGTCTGTGCTGGAACCAGAGGCAAGAAGCCCAGTGCCCACAGGCACACCCTGACATGCACACAGATGGGGTTCACCAGAGCTCGGGGGGGTGCACCTGATGTCCCCATCAGCTGGTGCAGGGCAGGGTGCATCTTGTCACGCTGTCCCCATCGCACCTCCTCCTCCACCTCCCTGAGGCACAGGGACACCTTGGGGACCATCCCAGCAAGGGGCTGCAAAGGGCCCTGGGGGGCCCGGTCCTGCAGCGACAGCACCCAGCCACAGGGCCAGGGGGTCCCCGCAGAACAGCGGGGACCCCCTCCCTCCTTGCTAATGCTCCCCTCTCCTTGCAGGTGCGCACGGCGGACATGGGGGGCTACGCCACATCCCTGGATTTCACCCAAGCTGTGATAGCTGCCCTGGATGTCTAGGGCCACTCGCTTCCTCCTCCCTGTGCCCGCCCGGTAATTTATTGCTTCCCTCTAATAAAAATGTCCTCTGCAGCATGACAGGGGTCTGCAAGGTGTGCTCTGAACACACACGATGCCATCTCTTCCCCCCTCACCCAGCCGAGCCGGGGAAGGACAGCTGTGGCAGCTCCCAGTGCTGGGAGCAGGGACAGCATGGTCACCTCCTGCCTGGGCGAGGGGAGGCAAAGCCACGCCAGGTCCGGGGCTCCTGCCCATACTCTTTCAGCTGCAGCAAAACAAGACAGAAGAGGTTCAACAACAACCTCCGCCCTTTATTGAGGTTCAGTCACAACGAGCAGTTTCTCGCCCCACGCGGGCGCTGGACACGGCCCCGTGACGGACACCACGCGCAGCCTGAGGCACCCCACGGGAAGGGGCCACAGGGGGTGCTCAGGGAGGCAATGCTGCCTAAGGCACAGCGAGGCTCCAGCGCTGCCCCGGGGGCTGCTGCTGCCACCTTAGTCTGGCCAAAGGGACCCACCCACACCACGAGGTGCCAAAACGCGTTTAATGAGGCCATCGTGCCACATTACACTGCCGGGCACGCAGCTGCCGCAAAATGCCAGTGGCCAGGCGAGGGGCCACGCATGAGGCTGCACCAGGCTGACCTCCTGCCAGTCCATGAGTCCATACTGCTGGAGCGTGGCCTGGCTCCACCTCTGCCCTGCTCCCCTAGTCCTCCTCCGAGTCCCCCGCCTTCTTCTTCTTCTTCTTTTTCTTCTTCTTCTCCTCCTCCTCGTCAGCCTCTACCATTAGTTTCCTTTTTTTCTTGGGCAAGGGCTCTTCCTCCAGCCCGTTCTCCTCTGGCTCCGAGGCAGCCTCCACCTCCTGCTCTGATTCAGCCTCCACCTCCTGCCGCTGCTTCTTCTTCTTTTTCTTCTTTGGCTCAATATCATTCTCCTGAGGGGAAACCAGAGTCAGCAGGAGCTGTGCCCAACTGGGGAGCTGGGTGACTGCCCAACGCCCTGACACCCTGCCTCCCTCACCCCTGTGGGGCTGGGGCCCAGGGCCCATCCCACAAATCCCACTTGGCTGCGGGATGGCTGGGTGAAGAATAACCAGGACACATTGCTCTGCCGGTGCAGCAGGACGAGGCCAGGCCCATCACAGCCCTCTCACTGGAGGACGCCCACCCCGCAGCCCCCTGCCTTCACCTCTGCCTCCAGCACGGAGTTCTCTTCTGCAGCTGCAGCCAGGGCCTCCAACCGTTGCTTCTCCCGCTTTTTCTCCTTCTCCCTCTTTTTCTTCTTCTTCTCCCTCTTCTCCAGCTTCCTCTTGACCTCGGCCACCACCTCACTCGCCTGCCAGAGAAGACAAGAGAGCTTGTCAGCATGGGAGAGGTTCCCAGCCCAGCACCCGTCCCAGCAGCACCCGTCGGATCAGCCTCATTAAATCAGTCTTTTCCCTCCACAGCGGGTCAGGATGGAAGATTGACATCATTTCCGACAGCGGGGCCCTGCCACACTCCACGCAGCCTCACCTCCACCACGGCCTCCTTCATCACCTCCAGGTTCTTGCGGGGTGGCTCCCCTGTCTCATAGAAGGCCAAGCGCTCCTCCACCTGCTCCCGCAGCTTATCCCCGAAGACACTGGTGGGGACTTCTGCAGGGACAGAAGAGGGGCTCAGCACCCCGTGTCCTGCCCACCCCGGCGGCTGCCTCCCCCCACCCCAGCTCTGCTCAGCCCACAGGAGTCACCATTCACACAAGTGAGATGCTGTTGACGAAAAATATTCCCATCACCGCAGAGGGAGCCCGGGACCCCATCCCCCTGCCTGCCCTGGCCCCACAGGCACCTGAGAAGCAGTCGATGCGGGAGGCGATGGTGCACTTGTTGGCCAAGTAGCGGGAGATGCGCCCCTTGTTCTTGGCTGCTGCTCGCCCGATGAAGGTGGAGTGGAAAATGAGACCATACTTGGGGGTGTTCCCTCGTGTCTTCAGAGCCCTGGAACCGGCCAGCAGAGCTGTCAGGGTCAGCGTGGCAGCACCCGGGGATGAGGACACCCCCAGGCTGGAACCAGCACCAGTTCCCTCCCCTCCAACAGCCCCAGTTCTCGCCTGCAAACAGCACGAGCACAGCACCACCCACGGGACAGCCGCCTTCCCCCACACCCCGCTAACCTCCAGGGGTGCCCGGGGCACAGCCCCGCTGTCGGACACCCTGCAAGGCCCCGCCAGGCGAGACACAAAGACATGGTGGTCGCTCAGAGACTGGGGCTGGCCGGTCACACGCAGCCAAGGCAGCGGGGGCCCGGCGCATCGCAGCCAGCGGCCCAGGGACCTGCCATCACTGCAACCACCCCGCAGCGGTACCTGAAGAGGGCTTTCTCAGCCCCGAGGATCTGCACCGTCGAGGCCGGGTACTTGGCCAGGTTCGTCAGGCTGCCGGCGTGGGAGATGAGGCGGGCGCCAACCTGGGAAGGAAAAAGATAGGGGTTACAGCTGTCCTCACCCCAAGAGCCCACCCCCAGACCGCACACAGCCTCCCAGGCCAGGGATCAGTAGTGAGAGGTGTCAGCAGGACAGCTCAGTGGATTGACAGATTTACTCAAACATCATCTCCGCAGCCTGGGACAGCCCAAGGTACACGCACACTCGCACTTACCACCTCCCCGATGAGGGCCGAGAGGCTGGGAGCCACCTGGCTCATCTTGGAGCGGAGATATTCCTGCAGGCCCTTGCGGTACTCAGACAGTGAGATGACACGGCTGGAGAAGCTCTCAATGTTGATGAGGTCAAGAGGGGAAATGTCCATCCCTGTTGAGACGGGCATCGGGGGATAAGCGGCACCTCCCAGG